TTTTTTTTTTTTTTTTTTTTTTTTTTTTTTTTTGTTTAAGTTAAAAAAATGAAAAACTAAATTTCTTTGAGAGAAAAAAAAAAGATAAATAAAGAGTAAAAAATTGAAATTAAAATTCAAACATTTCTATCATGAGAGTTTAGTTGTCTAGTCCATTTCAAAATTCCAATAAGATTTAATTTCATTTTCAACTTGGTCCCTCTTTTAAGTGGAAATTACCGGGTACCTTCCGATTTTTTTTTTTAAATATTAGAAACTATAAGGGTGTGGAAAAATTACCCGGTACCCGGTACCATTAATTTAAATATTAGAAACTATGATGTAGTAACAAATTAATCTATAAGGGTGTGGAAAATTTTTTTCAATGTATTTTTAAACTATGACGTTGACAAAAATATGTAATGAGCTAAAACGGACAATATCTGTTAGCGGTGAGTTTGAGTTGTTACCAATGGTATTAGAGCCAAGTTATCAGAGTGGTGTGCCAACGACGCTGGCCTCTAATGAGGTGGATTGCGAGGAGAACAAAACATTTCTTATAAGAATATACAGCCAAGGGCTCTGAAAGAGGTAGATTATGAGGGAGACGAAACATTTTTTGTAAGGGCGTAGCAACCTGTACCTAATAGACGTGTTTCAAAATTATAGGCTGACGATATGTAATGACAAACAAATCATAATCTTACAACCCAAAACATAAATTTAGACGTGCATAACTCGTTCAGTAGCCAATTTCAATTTGTATTAACGACGAACACGCAAAATCTGCAGCTTGTGGACAGCTCGTAAGCGGCACTACTCACCCAGCACCCACCTCAATTCTTATCTTACCAACCGAAAGTATCCTTCAGCAGACGACCATTTTCCCACAAATGTTTATTAGGTCAGGCACTGCGAATCCTTCGTGACCTTCCGTACAATAGATTTTCCCTTTGAAGAAATAAAAAAGTTTATCTCCCACTTCCACCCAGTTCATCAAGTGATTTACTAAGCTTCACCGCTCGGTTGGTTTGTGGGAATGGTAATGGCGGCCAGTTCCCTATCGAATCTGCCTTCCGCTGTCTTCAATGGAAACCTTCAGAAAAATGAATTTGGGTTTGTGGGTATGCCGCGACGACCCGCCAAGTATCTCAAATCCAATCGTAGAGGTCGTGTTCTTAGGTAATTGTTTTCGGTTTTTCTTCATTGCTGCTGATTTTCGCTTCTGTTTCAGTTGTTTTCGTGAGTTTAATTTGGTGAAAGTTTGAGTTGATTCTCAGATAAATAGCATATATATGCTTGTTTTCTCTTGTTTTTCACCATTTTTTTTTGGGAAATCATTCATGGGTTTCGGAAATGGATCTTGATTGATTCATTCAAATTCGCTGTAGTTTTTGTTGTTCTGTTTAGAGAGTGTGGCTAAGCTTGTAGAACTCGTTGTTTATAGGGCAATCGTTTGAATGTTTGTGCAGATGCCAATCAACTCAAGTTGATGAACCTAAAACTAAGAGAAATTTACTTGACAATGCAAGCAATCTTCTAACTAATTTGTTAAACGGTGGAAATCTTGGATCTATGCCGATAGCTGAAGGTGCAGTCTCTGATTTGTTTGGTCGCCCACTCTTTTTTGCACTATATGATTGGTTCTTAGAGGTATGCATATCTTTCATAACTTGTTCATCAGTGTCTTCAACTGATCTTACAAGGACACTCGTTCCCTTATACGCCTTATGACGTCGTTGATCGGTTGGTGTTGTGGCTAGTTCGACATGGTTGGACATTGTTATGTACAAGTCCTCTAAGTTCTCTATGTTTCTTCGGTTTGGAATGAACATTTACCTATTGTTTTCTTTCTTCATGTTGCAGCATGGATCTGTTTATAAACTTGCCTTTGGACCAAAAGCCTTTGTTGTTGTATCGGATCCTATTGTGGCAAGATATATTCTTCGAGAAAATGCATTTAGTTATGATAAGGTAATGTTGAATCAACTTCTTTCTTTCTGATTGTTAGGAAGTGTATAATTCAGCTAGATTTCGAAGGAAATGGATGGTGAGATCCCACATTGGTTGGAGAAGGGAACGAAACATTCCTTATAAGGGTGTGGAAACTTCTCCCTAGTTGACGTGTTTTAAAATTGTGAGGCTGACGACGATATGTAATGGGTAAAAGCAGACAATATGTGCTAGCGGTGGCCTCAGGTTGTTACAAATGGGGAACAAATATTCCTTGTAAGAGTGTGGAAACCTCACCCTAGTAGACGCATTTTAAAACTGAGGTTGACAGCGATTGAATCATTCATGTTATCAGTCGTCAGGCTGTGTAAGTTGTAAATCCTGACTTTCAGAAGTAAGATACGTAATGGGTCAAAGCAGACAATATCTGCTAGTGGTTGCCTCGGGTTGTTACAAATGGGGGAACAAAACATTCCTTGTAAGAGTGTAAACCTCTCCCTAGTAGACGCGTTTTAAAACTGTGAAGTTGACAACGATACCTAATGGGTCAAAGCGGACAATATCTGCTAGCAGTGGCTTCAGGTTGTTACAAATGGGGGAACGAAACATTCTTTATAAGAGTGTGGAAATTTCTGTCTAGTAGACGTGTTTTAAAACCGCGAGGCTGACGACGATACGTAATGAGCCAAAACGGACAATATCTGTTAGCGGTGGCCTTGCGCTGTTACAAATGAGGGAACGAAACATTCGTTATATGGGTGTGTAAACCTCTTCATAGTAGACACGTTTTAAAACCATGAGGCTCACGATGATGCGTAATGGGCTAAAGCGGACAATATTTGCTAGCGGTGGCCTCAGGTTCTTACAAATGGAGGAACAAAACATTTCTTATAAGAGTGTGGGAATCTCTCTCTTGTAGACGCGTTTTAACTGTGAGGCTGACCACATTACATAATGGTTCAAAGCAGATAATATTTGCTAGCGGTAGCCTTGGGTTGTTACAAATGGGAGAATGAAACATTCCTTATAAGGGTGTGGAAACCGCTCCCTAGTAGATGCGTTTTAAAACTGTGAGGCTGACGGCGATTGTAATGGGCCAAAATAGACAATATCTACTAGCGGTGGCCTCGGGTTGTTACAAATAGGAGAACGAAACATTCCTTATAAGGGTGTGGAAACCTCTCCCTAGTAGACGCGTATCAAAACCGTGAGGTTGACAGCGATACGTAATGGGCCAAATCGGACAAGATCTACTAACTGGGACCTCGGGTCGTTACATGGACCATCTACCACTTTTTTTCTTTTCTTCTTAATGAGCTATTTCTTGTACTATCCTGATGTTGTTATCTCTTTTCTTGAAAGGAAAATATAACATCTGAATTTATCTGTTTAATTGTTATGTAAACAACCACATGAAAGATTAGCTAAAACGTTGGTACAGTGATTTGTTGGTTTGAGTGAATTTGGTCAATATCAATACAGTAAAGGACATGGCTAGTTTTGTCGATGTTCTTACATGCTTTCTTCAGATTAGCCGCAATATTCATGTAAAATTCCATACTAATCAAATATATTTAGCACTTTGTGTTGTCATAACGTCTTATTGCTACTGTAAATATACTCTACTAGGGAGTGCTTGCTGATATTCTCGAACCCATAATGGGTAAAGGACTAATACCAGCTGACTTAGACACTTGGAAGCAAAGGAGACGAGGTGAGCAAGCAAAATTTGATCAATATATTGACTTCTGCTTTATAACCTTACAGAGATGTTGAATGATTTCATTTTGAGTTACAGTTATAGCTCCTGGATTCCACGCGTTATACTTGGAAGCTATGGCCAAAGTGTTTGCTGATTGTTCAGAACGATCGATACGGAAATTGGAGAAGCTTTTAGGAGAAGGTGAAGTTCATGAGGATAAAACCATTGAGTTGGATATGGAAGCAGAGTTTTCAAATTTGGCTCTTGATATCATTGGACTTGGTGTTTTCAACTATGATTTTGGTTCTGTAACCAAAGAATCCCCAGTGATTAAGGTTTGAAGAAATCGAACTATCCACATTATAATCCTACACGTATATGGTCGTTTGTTTGTTCGTTATCAAGCTAGGATTTGGAACCTCTTTGTAACATGATCCAGGTTGTGTTTGGTGTCCCATTATTTTTAGAGATCGTACGGCTTTTGTCGTCTTAATTTAATGTCTAGTGCATACCTAAACCATGAACATCAAGCATTCTTAATCGGAACTTTTACAAATATTTTGCAGGCTGTATATGGAACCCTTTTTGAAGCAGAGCATAGATCAACTTTCTATATCCCATATTGGAAAGTACCTTTGGCAAGGTGGATAGTCCCGAGGCAACGTAAATTCAATAGTGACCTTAAGGTTATTAACGACTGTCTCGATGGCCTAATACGAAACGCAAGAGAAACCCGAGAGGTGAGCTGAGGCTTGACACTTGGCAAATTTTTCTGGTGAAGTAAACTTTTCTAGGAAAGTAGGAAATCTTGCCATGTTGCTATCATTTGCAATTTATATTCATATTGATGATCTTTTAGCCTGGAATATTCTTTATAAGTTAAATTTCATTCTTTTATGTTGAGGGGAAGCCGGAAAGGGAAAGCTCAAAGAAGTCAATATCTGCTAGTAGTGGGTTCTGGCATTACAAATGGTATCAGAGCCATATACTGGGCAATATGCCAACGAGAACGTTGGGTACCCAAGGGGGGTGGATTGTGAGATCCCACATTGGTTGGAGAAGGAAACGAAGTATTCTTTATAAGAGTGTGGAAACCTCTCCCTAACCGACACCTTTAAAACCTTGAGGGGAAACCCGGACGAAAAAGCCCAAAGAGGACAATATCTGCCAACGGTGGACTTGGGCTGTTACAGCTACAAAACTCGATCATATTTTCAAATCTCTACTCGTGGCTGTGTTTTTATTTTCTTGTAGAAATAAACACATTGTTTGAGCAAGATACACAATTAGTTCATAGTAGGTTATTGATTAGGACATCAACATTCACCGAATTCTTCTTCCAACTATGAGCCTAAGACCCATATTTGAAAAATCTATTGAAAGCAGTAACTGACAAGCTAGTTTAAGAAACTACTCTTTCTTGTTTGAACCTTTATGAGCTGTTTCTTTCTTTTCTTCTTCCATGGTGAAGCAAGGCATAGATCTGTCCTTTGTTTTTTCCATGTCACAGGTGCCTTTAAGTAGTACACACCTTAGATACTCATTGTGTAGGCATGTCAGAACAAATTTGTTTGAAGCAACAGCCTGGACTTGACTTTGGTTGCATCTCCTAACAGGAAGCAGATGTCGAGAAATTGCAGCAAAGGGACTATTTAAATCTTAAGGTGTCTCTTCCATCCTCCCGAGTGTTTCCAGGTGTTGTACTTTAGATGCTTCACAAAGATCATGAATGGCTCACTGTATTATGTCATATTTTTCAGGATGCCAGTCTTTTGCGTTTCTTAGTTGATATGCGGGGAGCTGATGTCGATGATCGGCAGGTAAAGTGATAGTCAAAGTTTAAGTTGTGAAGTCGAATGCAGCTAGTTAGCTAGGCTACAATAGAGTAATACTTTTCGGGTAAGTGTCTAAAAAGTGTTCAAGAGGATAGGAAGGTCTCCGATTTTTCCTTACCTATCAGATTATAGCTAAAATGTGTTTACCTTGATCAACTTTCACATCTATATATGTAATGTCAACAGCTTAGGGATGATCTGATGACGATGCTTATTGCTGGCCATGAAACAACTGCTGCTGTGCTTACATGGGCTGTTTTTTTGCTTGCACAAGTAAGCATTTGGCTCTGCCTCGTTGCCATCATTCATAAAGTGATATAGATTGAAGTTCAATGATGGCTTCTTTTGTTTAAGGTAAGGCCTCATGGTTGGTTTTGCAGAACCCTTCAAAAATGAAAAAAGCTCAAGAAGAGGTTGATTTGGTTCTTGGCAAGGGAAGGCCAAATTTTGAATTACTCAAAGAATTGAAGTAAGAAAGATCTCTGTTTCCAAGTATTCTGCTTAATACTCTCTTTTTTGTTTCCCTCAAAGCTTAAGAGTTAAAATGGAGACACATCAGTTCAGTTGTTCCAATTTTCATAGATTTCTGAGCATATTTGCTCGAGTGAAGTTTGGTACTTACAGTTTTGTAATATGCTATCAGGTACATCAGACTTATCATCGCGGAGACTCTTCGTTTGTTTCCTCAACCACCATTGCTAATAAGACGAGCTCTCAAACCAGATACGTTACCAGGTACCAACTGAAAATAACCTTCATCACATGTAAGTGGTGCAAAGAGAACATTGAAGGGGAATTTTCTGTTTAAATCACCATGTCCTGAATGTGTTCTGGGAAGCTAGAGCTAGCTAAGAAGAGCTGTTCAGCTTTGATGGTTGAATATGTTAAGCATACCCAACGTTTAGTCGAATGGTCTTCTCTCTCGTCTTTTCGACCTTAAAGATAATGCTGTTATTATACCCTTAAGCCATGTGTGCAATGGTAATTGTGCAGGAGGATATAATGGTGACAAAAATGGATATCCAATTCCTGCAGGGACTGACATCTTCATCTCTGTAAGTTGAAGATGGCACTGGAGGTGCTTATTCTGAGTATTTTTAATTGCATTGGTTCTTTTTTGTTGTAAACCTGAGAATATTCTGATGTCTCTTTCACTCTCTTCCATTTGCATGTTGTCTACTTGCTTTTCACGAACCTATTCTGTAACTTTTAGGTTTACAATCTCCATAGATCCCCATACTTCTGGGATAACCCTCAAGATTTCGAACCAGAGAGATTTCAGGTAAACAAAGCGAGCGATGGGATTGAAGGATGGGATGGTTTCGATCCTTCTAGAAGCCCGGGAGCTCTATACCCAAATGAGGTAACGTTCCAACTATTGGTCCTAATATAAAACAGATGCATCATGATCAATCAGTTAATGATGGATTCATTCCGACGACTATCTCAGATTATATCAGACTTTTCCTTCTTGCCATTTGGAGGAGGACCTAGAAAATGTGTGGGAGATCAATTTGCTTTAATGGAGTCAACTATAGCACTGGCCATGTTGCTGCAGAAGTTTGATGTGCAACTAAAAGGAAGTCCAGAATCTGTGGAACTAGTCACCGGGGCTACCATACATACCAAAAGTGGGTTGTGGTGCAAACTGAGAAGAAGATCACAAGTAAATTGATAGCTAACATTCTTGTCATCCCAAGAATATGGTACACTTATTTGTGCTACATGATAATGCTTGGGAAATATATATCTTTCTTCTCACTAGGGAGAATTTAGTTCATTGGATGTCGGTTCAGTTCATTAATAATGGTGCATTATCCTCGAGCAGAAATTTACATGTTGAGTAAGAATTACAGATTACTCTTGGAACTAAGCATTTATCAACTTGTTGAGATGAAACTGTTCTTTGGACAGCCTAAATAACAAAGCTAAGCTAACTGATAAATATGCAGCTTTTTCTTCTATCACTATTCTAAGTAAAAGACAATCGAGTATCGAAACTACATGGCATACTACGACGTCTGGGCCTGTGTCATGTATATACTTTTTGTACAACTCAACTAACCATGAAAAGATGTCTGTTAGTTCATCAAGTATGTCTTGAAGTACTGCCATGAAGCTGGGCAGATCTTAAATGTTGCTCATCCTGCAATAGTTTTTACAGGTTAAGAACAGTCAAACCACCAACAAAAGATTGCAGCACAGTTCTAAAATAACTTATTAAACAAACCTGTAAACTATAACTATAACTTGTTGCTGGCCGATAATCCACCTGTATGTAAATTCAACCAGAAAAAAACTTTCAGATATCTGTTGAAGAGAACGTTCCCTCTAGTATATTTTTTGAAATAGTCTCAGATACCAGGGCATGAATGCCATTATGCTGCGCCCCAAAAGACCCATCATGACTGGCTGCAATTGTATTCAGTTGACCCTGAAAAAAGAATATATTGAACTTGATTCATAAAGAATTAAACAACCTTCATGATCATTGAGTATCTAACAGAACCATAGCAAGACTAACCAGCCCTTGAATACTTTGTTGATTGACATAATACGACGCATCGCGGGGAGGCTCCATCAAGTTCAACTGTACCTGCAATCACCAGTAGCTTAACAATAGCATCTATGAAGTCATAAGCTAATAAAATATCCTACCAATCCTTGAACATTCTGTTGGGATCCATAATATCCACTCAGGGTCATGCTATCTGAGGTTAAACCATCCTGCAAGTAGGAAATCCAATAAGAATTTGCTTATCTATGATGATAAATGCACATTGCTAACGAAGAACATAGTAGGGAGATTCAACCATTTGCTGCAAGTTGTTCTGGGATTCAACAAGTATCATATCTGTTTCTGTTTGTACCTGAACAAAGGAATTCCAGAATCAAAAAATGTTTCTGCCTTGTTTGTCTTAGCATATCAAACACTGACTGGAAAACCAACCTTTCGTTTTCTGTTCATACTCCTCTTATTTGCTTTAGCAGCTATGCTTTCTTGGTTCTCCACTTCCTCACGTAGACCGTAGTCATTAACGCTCGATTCTGCTGGAGCACTTTTTGAGTTGTTAATATTGACACAATTCTTCAGAGCTTCTACTACTGTACGAATGGCAATATTATAACACTCCTCTGATTGTGATCCTTCTTCACTTAATTCAATAGCTTTTTTACATAGATTATTGTAACGTTGTACTCTGTTCTGTCTGAATTCTGTTCCTTCAGTAGTATTTGCTTGCCTGCTCTTTGCATCTTTTGTCCACCTTTTTAGAAGATATTGAGGTGGGATGTTTGAAAAACGATGCATATGTAACACAATCAATGCATGTCTACAAAGAAAACCATTATATTCAAACAAACGACAGAAACAAGAAACTTCAGAGTTCAATTCATGCCACTTCACTAAAAAATGCTCATCTTTCTCACAGTCCAGAACTCTGAATGTAGTAATGCCACCATCTTCACTTTCTTTTCTTGGATGACAGCCAACTACGCCCAAAACTTCAACTTGGAATTTCTTAAATATCGTGTGCGTGTAAATTGTAGACATTTGTTTTTCCCAGGGAGAAGGAGACTTCAAGGCTGGTTGTTTGTGTAATGTATCAAAATCTGCTATTGCTTCCTCTTCATATCTATTTTGCAGAATGTTTCCATATTGTTTCAAGAACTCCTTGAGCGTAATTTTCTTGTGAATGTATTTGTCAAAGAACGCGTTCGTACTATCAGAACATTGAGCAGGTGACATTCCAGCCAAGAAGATTTCCTCCATATAAGTTGGTACCCATTTTCTACGATCATCATATAATGATTGAATCCATTTGTCATCTTGAAGCTCAAATCTACTAACCATCTTCCACCATCTCATATCAAATTGCTCATCCGTCCACGACTTCAAAATGCACTTGTTAAATTTTGACAAGAAATTTTTGTGTCGTTTGATTACATGAGCAAGAGTTTCAGGAATCTTTTCCATTATATGCCAAAGAGCAAAGCAATGGCGGGTATTTGGAAACACCTCTTCAATGGCTAATTTCAAGGCTTTGTCCTGATCGGTAATGATAACTTTGGGAGCTTGACCACCCATTGCTCTAAGCCATGTCTTCAACAACCAGGTAAATGTTGGTTTAGTGCAATCTGCAGCCAATGCACAACCAAGCATCATTGACTGCCCGTGATGGTTCACTCCAATGAAAGGAGCAAAGGGAAGCTTATCATTGGTTTTAATGTATGATATATCGAATGAGACAACGTCATTGAAACTAACATAATCGTTCCTACTTTTGGCATCGACCCAAAACAAGTTTCTCAGACGCTGCTCTTCATTTAAGTCTATAGCATAGAAAAAGTAAGGATTCTCCTTTTGGATACGCTTAAAATACTCCAGCAATACTTGCGCATCACCCTCATCAAGCGCTAAATACTGGCCTTTGTCGAACTGATAAGTTGTGTCAATCTGCAGGAAACCGACATTTCTGTACACGCCACGTTTTTTCGACATCTCAACATACATCCTTCGTGTTCTTTCACTAACAGCATGTAATATGTCGATGTTGTTCTTCTCTGCAAGCTTTACATTCCTATGGATGCGAAAATGATATGCAAGAGCAGGTAAAAGCTCATGATTATGATCTTTTATGAACTCATGAATAATCCATCTTCCATCTGGCCTTCTCTTCACATGCATACTGGCTTTACAGTCGGTTTTTTTCACGCTTGGCCTTCGACTATTTCCATTCTCAGGTTCAGGAGTAACTCCATATCTTGAACATGCAAATTTTGCATCAATAAACTCTTTTGATTTCTTTGAACGTCGACTATTCTTAATCGATGTGGTGAATCCCATTGATTTGGCATACTCTTGATAAAATGTGTACGCAGCTTCGTGGGATTCAAAATCAATTCCACTCCGTGGCTCCAAATCTATGTCCCCTTCAAACAGGAAGTCCTTCGGTAAACTAACAATTCCATCATCTCTATCATGCATTTCAGCCACAACGTCAACCATTTTTTCCAGCAGTAAGAAGCAGAGTTTTCACATCTCACCTAGATGTTGCTACATAATCCTTTCCTTTTCATCAAAGCATAATTTACAATCTGTCTCTTTGACAGAATTTCCCTGCAAGTCATATTCTATATAATCCTGAAATGATAAGAGAGATCACACTCACTTTACTTGACAACGTCCCAAGGCATAATCCAGGAACTCTCAAATCCATTATTCAAGCTATTTAATTCACCCTGATCAACAAATCAAATACACTTAGTATGTAGATTACCAAATGCCAACATTCACAAGATTAAAGACTTCAAAAACAGGGACATCGAATTACAAACAAATGAGGCATCGAATGCTTTAAACATATATTCCTCCATAAGTTACAAAATCTACACTACGACTGACATTAAAATCTGTGAGAACAGTAATTTGTCTGTTTTTTAGAAATCCTGTAGACAAACCCGACCGAATGTCGCAAGATTCTTGAAAGGAAAGTTCATTAAAACGTCAACTTTTACGCTGACTACAAGCACAGAGATTTGTTAGCAACTCAGAGACAGAAGTCTAGAAGTGATAATCGACAGGAACCCAATTCAAGAAGTATGAGTACTATAAGGACATAATTTCCCAACTCTGATAGAGAAACCAAACATACAGAAGAAGCCTTCTCGGATTAGCTAAAACCAAGTGGGAGGGAAGGAGCAGCAACTATTGAATGGCACATTTCCCAAACCCCATTAAGAACGCTAAGCATATAGATACAATTCTCCATCGATACTCCCTCAGCAACAAAACAGATATAGGAGGGGGGAGGGGGAGCCCAGAAGAAAACATCATCAGGATCGCAGAAAAATGACACAGAAACCCAGCAAATTAAGACTAAAAGTAAAACAAAAACGAGAAAGAAGAGGCTGGCATGAAGTTGAGAGAAACCTGAAGAAAGAACGGTTTCTTAAGAATCCGGGAAGCGAAGCAGTAGGCTGTAGCAGCGAGTGGAGGATTTGCGCGAGTGGGGAAGGGGGTTCCTTCGATTGGGGAAAGTAGGGCTTGAAACTCACTCGCCGATTCAAAACTGTGGGGAAGAATTTGGGAGAATTGGGTCAAATTCACTCGCCTTTGGGTTTTGCCACGCTCTGTCGGCGCAACAAGATTGAATCTTTAGCTCAAATAAAGCATTCCACATTTGGGGATGTTTTGTTTTTCCTAAAACTACACGCGCGGATATGTCAGCGCGTGTTGTTTTTGTTAAAATGTTTCACTACACTATTTTGGTTTAGTTTTGTCCGTTAAGATAGATTTCTATGATATATCATGTGTTATTTGTGCTCTATTTCAGATCAGCTTTGATTGCTCTTTATTATTTCTTGAGTTCCATTTTTAACCTTCCCCTCAAAACAATTAGACGTGTGAGAAGAAGAATATGATCCCGAGAGAAAACTTGAGGAAAAACAAATAGAAAGCTAAAAACAAATACATGATTGATTGATGAAGATGACTATCATCTTCAAGGGTAAGAAATTTATCGAACCGTTGCATTTCACCAAACGTCTCTTATCCTGCTCTGGCCACCATTTAGATAATAAGGGCTTTGATAGCATCGGACTATATAAACCTTTAGCTTTTTGGACCTGAATCCACAGATTTTTCCATCAGAAACCAACTATTCCAGCTCCACCTACTCTAGTTACACCTTAAAACAAGAAACTACCAGTTAATAACAACTCGTTCTAAAAATTACATCTTGTTTCATACTAAGAATCAAACATACAGATAACTCTGGGCTGAGTTGGTATTACGCTATCATCTTTGAATGAGAACCATGTAAAATAAATGATAATGATGAGAACTACATACTTGTTATTATGATACAATCGCCTAAGGAGGACCAACATTTGGTATATATCCAGCCACTAACTTTTTTTACAGACACTAGAAGAATGTGTTGTTTCCTGCACCTGGGAAATGATAAGTTCATTTTCATGGCTAAATACAAATATCCACTAGTGAAGCACCTTCACTAAGATTAGAGGTTAATCATGTTTGTCTTGATGCATCATCATGCAACTGAGTTGTTCGTACATTGGGATCATCCTGCCACAAGGGAAAGTATTGAATGTGGATGACATATAAATTGCATAATGTAGTGGAAGATATACATCGTGTTCGGTAAACTAACCCGAATGCCATAGGTGAAACCAGTCGGTGTTCGGAAAAAATCCATTTGTCCCTGCAGGAATGAACCAATTTTGTAAAATGTGGTGACTAGAATGCAAATAGGCTGAATATCACATCTCGAGTGTCACATACCAGTGCATGGATACTCTGTTGATCAGCATAATAACCATCATGGCTAGGTGCTATTGAGTTTAATTGCCCCTATAGATAAAAGAACCCAGAATTTCTAGTGAGTTCATGTATATTATACTTGGTCTGAACCCACACATTTACTTTTTTGTGCCACCATAAAGCTTACCAGCCCTCCAATGGCCTGCTGATTTCCATAATAATTATCACGGGTTGGTGCCATTAAGTTAAGTTGTACCTGAGAAGACATGAGTGCATGGAACTGAAAACTTTGCCAGTTCACTAATTAAGATGCTAAAGAGAGAGACTCAAGAAAATCATACCATTCCTTGCACACTTGGCTGTGTGCCAAAAAAGCCATCAAGGGTTACTGCTCTTGAGCTTAATTTGTCCTGAGAAAGAGAGAAGGCAAAGAATCATATACATATTGACAATACTTTGTAGCTTACCTTTAGATAGAACAATTTTTTAAAGAACATTTAATCACTTATAATGCCCCAATAAATTTGAAAAGTTCAAAACCAGAACCTAGCGGTAGAACCTATAATAATTAACTTTGAAAGATTGCTGGAATTTGGAGTTTAGAAAGAATTTCCTAAAAACAGAAGTGGAAGATTGGATCAAGTTCATGTGGCATCTTAAATTATTTAGCAGAGATTGAAGTTGTGAGATCCCACATCGGTTTGGGAGGAGAACGAAGCATTCTTTATAAGGGTGTGGCAGACGCGTTTTAAAAGCCTTGAGGGAAAGCCCAAAAGAGAAAGCCTAAAGAGGACAATATCTACTAGCTGTGGGCTTGACTGTTACAAATGGTATCAGATCAAAGCCAGACACCGAAGGAGGGTGGATTGGGGAGGTCCCACATCGATTGGAGAAGGGTACGAGTGTCAACGAGGACGCTAGGCCCAGAAGGGGAGAAGATTGTGAGATCCCACAATGGTTGGGGAGGAGAACGAAACATTTTTTATAAGGGTGTGGAAATCTCTCCCTAGCGACGCGTTTTAAAAACCTTGAAGAGAAGATCGAAAGAGAAAGCCTAAAAAGAACAATATCTGCTAGCAATAGGTTTGGGTTGTTACATAAGTTTTCGAGACCTTTCCAGAAGGGTAGGATTGGATCAAATTCAATCAGAAAAATGATTGGGTGGTCCATCTTGAATTCTTTAGCAGGATCTAAAATTTAAGGTTTTGGAGATTTTTCTTCCTTCAAAATCAGACTTCGCACAGATGAATCCTTGAAGCCTAAATACGGGTGACGTATTACCTCCCAGTCGAATTACGTTTCTATGGACTGATACTTTTTCTTCCGTTCTAATTTCTTAAAAAAATGTAGTATTTTCATTATCAATATCTCTGGGGTTCTCCAAAATATTTGGAATCAACATTGTAATGGGTCAAGTCCACCGTTAGCAGATATTGTCATTTTTGGGTTTTTCCTTTCGAGTTTTCCCTCAAGGTTTTTAAAACGTGTCTGATAGGGAAAAGTTTCCACACCCTTGTAAAGAATATTTCGTTCTCCTCCCCAACCGATGTGGGATCTCACACCCTTATATCTGCTAGCGGTGAGCTTGAGACGTTACAAACATTGTTTTAATAACAAATTCCAACAGTCAAACTCTTGGGGTTAATTATAGCCCTAATTAAAAAAAAAGTTATTTTACTTCATAATATATCCCAAACGAACAGGATCAATACAAGCAAGAGTTGAAAATTAACGTGGATAATTTTATTATTATAATTATAATGAAGGTGACAGACAAACCATCTGCTGCAAGCTATCTTGTGCTCCAACAGGCATGACATCAGACTCGAAATTCACCTGAAATTCAAAAGTGTCATTTTCAACACGTACTTAAAACATAAAACACCAAAGTGCAACAACTAACCTTCCGTTTCTTAGTTGGATATTTTTTCTTGTTTGTCTTGCCTATGTTTCTAATCTGATTGTCGTCTTCAATGCAGAGTAGACCACGAGCTGCTGATGTACCAGTTTCTAAAACAGTTCTATTAGAACTATTGATACCAATACAATGTCCAAGCGTTACATCGAGTGCATGCACTGCAATACTGTAACTCTCTCGGTACAAAGATCCCTCTTCAATCAATCTCAATGCTCGTTGACATAGATCATTGTACCGATGCACCCGAGATAGTCCTGGCTCAGGTTCTTCTCCCATTAATTGGTGGCTCTTAGCATCTTTTGTCCACCGTTTTAAAATATATTGAGGTGGAATAGTAGAAAGTTCACAAATTTGAAGAACAATCATAGCATGTCTACAAAGGTAACCTTTAGATTCATATAACCGGCATAGACAAGAAACTTCCGACTTCAGTTCATTCCATACAACAATGAAGTCAAGTTTCTTATCAAGATCTTGAACTTGATAGGTAATGTTTTCATCATCTTGCTTTTCCCTCCTAGGATGGCAAGCAACAGCACCTAAGACCTCAACTTGAAATTTTTTAAATACTGCATGTGTGTACAGCCCTGAAACGTTCTTCTCAAATGGTGAAGGAGATTTTAAGGTGGGTTGTTTGTTCCAAGTATCAAAATCAGCTTTTGCTTCCTCTTCATACCTATCCTGTAAAACTGCTTCATACTGTTTCACAAACTCTTGTCCAGTGGTCTTCTTGTGCAAATACTTATCTAGGAAAGAGTTTACACTTTCAGATCGTTGTGCTGTGGACATTCCAGCCAAAAAGACATCTGTCATGTATGTAGGCGCCCAGTGTCTTAGATCTTCACATAAGGACTGAACCAACTCATTTTCCTTGAGTTCAAATCTGTTAACCAGTTTCCACCACCTTTTCTCAAACTCTTCCTTTGTCCATGACCTATAGATGCATTTTTCAAATTTTGCCATAAAATTATCATGTTGTTTCATTACATTACCAAGGTTTTCAGAAAGTTTTCCTAATATATGCCACAAAGTGAAGTGATGATACACATTTGGAAGCACCTCTGGAATAAGTGACTTCAGTACCTTATCATGATCAGTGATAACGACTTTTGGAGCCTGTCCACCAATTGCTTTCAACCATGTACGTAATAACCATGCATATGTTGCTGGACTTGTATCTGATAGCAAAGCACATCCTAGCAACATAAATTGATAATGTTGATTCACCCCAACAAAGAAAGCAAGGGGCATCTTATATTTATTTCTAATGTAGGTAGTATCAAGAGAAACCACATCATTAAAATAAGTATAGTCATGCCTACTTTTTGCATCGATCCAAAATAAATTCCTTAGCCGGTGATCTTCACCAATATCTACAGCATAAAAGAAGTTAGAGTTCAAATTCTGCATCTGAGTAAAGAAGTCAAGTAAAACCCTTGCATCGCCAGCTTCAAAAGCCAAACTGCAGACCTTATCAAAGGGATTCTTGGAGTCATTCTTCAGCCCTACCACATTTTTGTATTCTGCAAACTGCCTAGCCATCGCAGCATACATCTTTCTTGTTTGTTCACTGACAGCTTGAGCTGGTAAAAGCTCGTGGTTATGCAACTTAAAAAAACTATGAATAACCCATTTACCATCCCCCCTCCTCTTCACATGCATGCTAGCTTTGCAATCTGTCTTCGCACATGCTCTTCGACCAGTTGAATTTTCACTTTCTTGTTTAGTTTGCCTCATACGTGGACGATTGAAGGACTTATCATACTCTCTCTTCATACCATAACGGGAACAAGCAAATTTTGCATCAATAAATTCCCTTGATGTCTTTGAACGGCGGCTATTTTGTATTGCTGTGTTGAATCCCATAGAGCGAGCATATTCCTGATAAAAGGAATATGCTTCACTGTGTGATTCAAATTCCATACCAGGAAGTGGTTCCAAATTTGTGTCCTCTTTAAACATTACCATGTCTAACAGAGGGGGATTTAAATCTCCACCATCTTCAATGTGCATCCCCTCTGTAGTATCAACCATACTTCCACTCCCAATAACTCCATTATGAAGTTTTTCTTTCACATCCAACATATTATTTAATTGCATTTGATTCTTCATCTTTGTCATGCTCACCAGAAGGCAACCTAAGATCTATATCCATGATGAGAAGAGCCAATGGCTAATGAGTTTTGATACCTGAAATGGACATTAAATAGTGAACATTTTAAAGACTATTATTTGACTTCTACGCGCATACACATAAATAAGGTCTTCTAAATTGACAACAAATTCCCAGTCTCTTAAGTTATAGGATCTATACCTACTTGTGCCCATAATGAATGGAGCAGATTACTGCTGCTTGCTTGCATATAGTGAACTCTACAACATTATTTCACAAAATCAAAGGCTGTTTGCTAGTGAAGGAACTAAAATTTAATATCATGAGATAGCAACGGTATAGTTCCATTCTCACATTTTTATCTTAACAGTAACATTTTCGACCTTCAGTCATCTAGATTTCAAACTTGCACAATGAACCAAAAGACCTGCGGAAAATTTCTCCTTTTAATCTGCGAATTGAAACCCGACAAGAAAAACAACATAATTTTTTCAATGACACTGCCCCATGCAAGGAATTTCACATGAAGTTTTATTCTCCTCAGTGGTAACTTTACAAATAATGGTTGAAAAGGAAGACAAAACAATTTGCAATTTGCAAAGACAACGATGAAAAGAGAAAAAATTATATGCACACTTAATCATCTACAAATATTATAGGACGAAAGACAATCATGGGCCCCCTCCTTGCAACAAAAAGACATAGAAACAAACAAACAAACAAAAACCCAACAAAGTATCTACAAAAATGCCTAATATATAAAACTCGCTATTAAACACAAAGAGACAAATTATTATATATCAACTGTATCATCAATTCCAATTTCTACCGGTACGTTAGATCCACATTTTCTGAAGTGATATCCTAAGGACCCAGGTCCAACGAAGCTTCCCCTGTTACCAAAAGCATTTCACTTGAGTATTCTACTGAATAACGAAAAGGACAAGCACCTAAAGTAGTTCAATTTTCAACTTCACATTCATACTAGACACTAGAATGATATCACTGGTTCATTCATGCCGGACCACTTAGCAAACTGTCGGTACCTCAGTTGATCTACGTACACATAGCAGACAAACACTAAAAGATTTTTCTAAAAAAACGTAAAAGGTCATTGTGCATAATTTGGGCTGGTCTGTATCTTAAAGATTTACATCAAAAGTGTCCAAATACAAGTTAGTTAGTTATGGATCGTCAAAGTCGATATGATTTTGAGCATCTTAAACCACTGAATTAGAAAGTTGAAGGTCCATTGTAAGACCGGCACTACCCATGTCACAGGTAGTAAATCACGATACTATGCAAAGGTTATAACCAAACGTAGGCATATATATAGGTTACCCAAATGAAATTCGCCACAGTAACTTCGTAGCATTCCTCTGGGTGTTGAAGTCCATTACTCAGATGAAATTCGCCGCAGGAGGCCGCAACTCTAGGTGGTGGAAGAACTGATTCCCACTCAAATTTTCCAATTTTCCCGCTTAATTTGGCCACCTCTGATCAAATTCGCCAAGAAGATCGAAATAAGGCAGGAAGCAAGCGGCAACTGGATACACACACACATCCATCATCCAGCAGCTAAAAAACTTCACAATGTGGCAATGTAATCACACTTCAATCCAAAGTCGACGATCCTTCCATTTCTTAATGTTCCTACTTCCAAAAAAAAAAAAAAAAAAAAAACCGGAACCAACGACCTCCATTCTCCTCGCTCTTTCTCGAAGAACAATCAACACTACCGTTACAGACAACAATTCCACCACACAGTCACGAGCATAATAATACACCAAACCCAACAAGATTCAACATAGCGAAAATCTCAAGCAAATCACAATAAAAAAGAAAATAAAAAACTGAAAGAAAGAGAAGATCGAGAACGCGGAAGGTGATTGGGTATGAAGAGGGAAATAAAAAGAAAAAAAGTTGGACCTGGAGAATCTCTGGGGGAGTGAAGAAGCTGAAACAAAGGGGCGAGCGAGTGGGGATTGACACCGCGAGTGGGGCAAAGAGTTGAGAAATTTTGGGAAATTAGGGTTTGTAAACCACTCGCCGCTGCCAGAAGAGGATGTTTGTTCTCTTTGAGATTGGATGATTCCTCACTCGCTTTTCTCTCACTCGCCCTCAGTTCGTTTTCCGTTTTTCTTTAATGGACATTTTTACCCCTCCTCTTGGCGCGTTGCCCATTTTCGTTATTTATTTATTATTTTGCCGGCATTTTTTTAAGACAGACGGCGCGTGCAGAAACGCCCTGCTCGATCGCCACCGAAATTAAATAAATAATTACAGATCGGAAAGATTTCAAAATTACATAATATTTTAAAATATTATTAATTTCTTAATATGTGTCTTAATCTAATCAATATAAGCTTGGATTATAAAAATATATATATTAAATTTAATCACTAAATTTTTTTAGTTTATTTAATGATAATCCACAAATTTATGAAAGTTAACCCATAAACTTACAAAAAAAAAAAAAAAAAAAAAAAAAAAAAAAAAAAAAAAAAGACTTTAANNAATTAATAATACAACTTTCTTTAAGATATCTCATTTAATTTATGGCGTACATCATTAATTATATATAGTTGATTAAGTGTTAGTTTGAAAGTTTATTAAATTCAAATGCATTATCACGTCCAATATATAATAAATAACAAATATCTAATTCAAAATAGATGAAATTCTATCTTCTTTTTTTCTAGGATTAAAATGTGTGAGATAATTTATTTACCTAGATAATTTAATTTGTAATTTATTAGTTCAAAGTTTTGGTCATTTAGTTATTATTATTTTTCTCGTCTAAAATAATAAATAAGTTACATAAAATATATATTATCAAATAAATAAATGAATAAAGATTTAAATTGTCAATAAATAATTATTAAATTTTAAATAATTAAACAAAATAAAAATAATTTATGAATAAACAATACGAGCCTAACTCACTCGATTGGATACATATTTTAAATTAAAGATCGAATATATATTTTATATTATTTAAAAGATAATAGATTCATATCAAATTTAAGATAAAAATTAGAATTATGATATGGGATACATTAAATAACTTACATTATTTTAAAAAAATTATAAATCTATTAATCGTGAAAATCTAAAATTAAAAGATTTTAATAAAATAAAAGAAAAAGAAAATAGGCATGGGACCCACAAAACGGCGAACATTAAATAACGTCTCTTCCTTCCTTTCCCACCAAAAGAATCGTCTCATCGGCTTTATACCTAACACCTCCAACTCACAGCTCCACGCATTAAATTAATTAACCACATATAATTAAAAACCTAAAGGTAATTAAATAATTTAATTAAAATTTAAAATCCGATTAATTAATTTATTAATTAATTAATTTCAGATTTAACTATTTTAAACCCCGTTCTCTTATTCCTCAGATTCTTAGTCAACGCTTTGCCTTGACGGCCCCCCCTTCTCTTCCATCTGCCGTTCCTTTTCACTACTTCGCCGCTACCATTTTTGATCATCTCTTTTCACGAACTTGTTCTCATCTGCAGCTCACATTAACTGTATCTCTCTATCTCTATTTTGTTTTTGGTTTCTGTCTCTTCTGCTCGCCGGCCGGCCGACGGCAGTGTGGGAGTGGGTTTGTTCGGCAGTGTGTGCGTTGTGGTGTTTTAATTGTGGAGTTATGGTGAGGAAACATGGATGGCAACTGCCTGCTCATACTTTTCAGGTATTCCAACCATGCGATCGTCTTCCGTTTGTTTCTTCTTGCTGTTGTGGGTTTTTTTTGATTTGGGTGTTTTAGGGTTTTGTTCTGCCAATGTGTGCTTTCTCTCTCGGGGAATGGGCTGAGTTGTGGTGGGTAAATTTGATTTTCTTGTGCGTTTGTTCGTTGCTGATTTTCTGTTGCTTTACTCTCACTCTCTTCCGAGTGTGGATGTAGAGACTTTCCTTTTTTGGTTCTGTTTTTCCTACTGTGATTCGTTGGGTAGTTAGACTGGGATTTGGTTTACGGAGAGAAGCGCGAAGAAATGTTGTAGTGATTCTGTAGCTTTCAAGACTATTAATTCTAAAATAGTTAATTTCTCGAGTCCTGTGTGATATTGCGGCTTGTGATATCTCGATGGGATTTTCGTTCGTGGTCTATTTTTCTCCCATTTTTGGGCTTGGAGAATTGGCTGAGGGATAGGCATCTATGTTGGAACATTTACTCAAAGTTGGAAATGGATTGGTTTTCTGGGATGTAGCTTGCAGGAAGGAAATATGAGGGGTTTCTTAGTTTTGTTATTTATAAAAATTGATTAGAAACTGTTCTTAAGATTCTTTTCTGGATGTTAAAATTACTGTTTATGATTTGAACGTTAAGCTGTTCTAGAAACAAGCTTACGAAGAGAACAGTGTGGACGAAATTTTTGTCATGAAAAACAGAAAATAGTTTTCCAAATCAACTTCTTTCAATCCCCAAGCACTTAACTATTCACTTGGGTTGTGATGTAGTTCAATGACGTGAACCAAAGTATTTAATTGTCATAATATGTATTGTAAACATTTAGTGTTTTTTTGTTCCTGCTAAGTTTTATCCTCAACCTAGGAAAATAGAGAAGCCTGATTTATAATTCTACATTAAGTCTAAAATATGTGGGGCACAAATTTACGTGTTGAAACATATACTCGATCTGCTAGATTTTGCCCCTTGTGACATTGGTTAGTACTGTTGAACCCAGGAATGTACTTCAAAAGCTTCAAGTCTTTTTTTTTTTTTCACCTATTATCAGTTTTGAGCTGCTTTCTAATAGTTTCTTGCTTACATATAGGTCGTTGCAATTACTGTCTTTTGCTTGCTAGTGGTGGCGTTCTATGCTTTCTTTGCTCCTTTCCTTGGAGGCCATATCTGGGAGTACATACTGATTGGCGTTTATTCACCAGTGGTATGCAATATTATTTGAGCAACATTACCCACCCCCCCCAAAAAAAAAAATCAAGCACGTGTGAGTTCGTTGTTGTACCTATCAGTTTTCTTCCTAGCTCAATTTCTGGGCATTCCACCTTTTTTGACTTTTCCCTTCTAAAAACTGTTCATTCACAAATTTTTTATAATAAAATTTGTTGTATTAACCCAGTTTTTTTCTGGTAATACAGGCACCTTTTGTCTCTCTTTTTTTTTAAACACACACACACACACACACACACACACATTATATACTGGGGTTTGGAATATTGAGGAGTGGATTAATGATCCCTGCAAACCATATCCTCCTTTAGATTGACCGTGCTTGTACCCTAGAATATGTATCACAACATACTGTCATTATAGTGCTTTGTTTTTCACTTAAATTGTGGACATCTAGTTTTTTTTTTTTTTTTTTTTTTTTTTTTTTTTTTTTTTTTTTTTTTTTNTTGTGGACATCTTTTTTTTTTTTTTTTTTTTTTTTTTTTCATTTTCTGAATCTTTGGATTGCAGGCACTCCTTGTATTCATTCTTTATGTTAGATGTACTGCAATTAATCCTGCCGACCCTGGTATTATGTCCAAATTTGATAATCGGAAAAAGAAACCCAACAATAATCAAGGTTTATCGTTGAAGAGTTTACCACAAAATTTAGATGAAATGGTCAACAGTAGACATTCTTCCGCATCATCAGCTTCCAGAAGTTCCATATCAGGACCTAATATGAGTAGGAATGGATCTGTAGGAGAAATTGGTAAAGTAGACAATCCAATGGAACGACCAACAGCCCGTAGTGCTGATAATATTGCACTAGTTTGTTGTGCATTATTTGTACATGAAGATTGTCGAAAAAGGGATGGAACAGCTGGCCCTCTAAGTGCTGCCGAGGATGCTTTGTTCTGCACGTTGTGCAATGCTGAGGTATTTGGTTTGGATGCCTCCATGCATTATCTTTGTTCCCAACTAAAAATATGTATAGAATTTTAGTTGGTCAGAACGGTGAATGTTAATATTTTGCTTTACCTGTACATATTTTCCCTCATGCATTTAGTAGTAGTTTATATAATCATGCAACATGGTCAAGGTTTCGAAACTTGTTCATTAGAATATAATTTTAAAAGATTTTTTTGATTTTTCACATTGACATTTGTTCATTATTTTCTCCTTATCAAGATTGGTCTTAATCTTTATTGAATGATAAGAACAATACTTTTCCTGGAGACTTGTGATTATTTATTAGCGACAATGATGTATAGGCCATTTAGTTTGAGATGTAAACTGCCAACCAAGTATCAGCCTACTGGATACAGCTATATCTTTATCGATATCAGAAAAACCTTTCCTGGTTTCTAATGTAGCACCCATCATTTTTATTATAATTTCATAATATCAGTCTAAGACATCATAAAACTTTTGGTCTTCAGATTCTTCTTCTTCTTCTTCTATAGGGGAATTGATGTAATACTGTTTTTTCAAATGTTACAACGATACCCTTTGATTCATCTATTGAAGTCAATGTTGTTCAATGAGTTTAAAGGACTAACGGTTGCTTATATATAGGACCAATAATATCATTCTATATTCTCGGTTTATACTTACCTCTCCATTTACTGGGCTAGACCTAATCATTTAGCAACTGATTTTTTGCAAATACATTTTTGGAGCGACATACTTTCCCGAAGGTTTACATGCATAATTCTTTTTTCATTGGCTTAGCTGCATGCTTCTTTGGTCCCAAAATTTTTATTTCAGTTTTATGAATGAACTATGAATGGTTGTGTTGGGCAGGTGCGCGAGTTCAGCAAACATTGTAGAAGTTGTGATAAATGTGTTGATGGCTTTGATCACCATTGCCGGGTATACCTTTTGTTTTTTAAGTCATTTAGTTTGTTTTAGATTTTCATTATGTTAAGGTTTTTACTTGGAGATTGACTCTCTTTTCAACGTGGCTGCAGTGGCTCAATAACTGTGTGGGGCAGAAAAACTATATTACCTTTATTTCTCTTATGGCAGCAAGTCTTGTTTGGGTAAGTATTAAAAACTGAATGCTGTTCTATGAAACCACAGTATACTCCCATTTGCTGCCAATAACATTTTGTCTTTATGGTTCAGCTTATTGTTGAAGCTGGAGTGGGTATTGCTGTTTTCGTGCGTTGTTTTGTTAATAAAAAAGGCTTGGAAACTGAAATTATTGATCGACTTGGAAATGGCTTTTCTCGTGCCCCCTTTGCGACAGTTGTGGTAAGAACAAATTAAATAATTTCAGCTTGTACCGGATGCAGAATTTTTGTAGCTTGCCTATAACAGACAAAATCAAGTGAAGTGCTAATTGCTAATCTTAATTTGGTTCTACCCAGGCGTTATGCACTGTAGTTTCCATGCTAGCCTGTATCCCACTGGGCGAACTGTTCTTCTTCCACATGATATTAATAAAAAAGGTAAGTGGTGAGAGCTTAAATACTGTTTTCATTTTTTCATGACGGTGATGATATTTACTTGATCTTTGGGAGATACTGTGGTATGGGTTAATAGTTCAATATACAGTGCTTCATTTGAAATCAATACAATATTTCTTTATCCTTCATCAATCCGGTAAATTAATGGATCGTCGATTAGGCAGTTAATTGGGGCTTGGAATTCCTCATTTCCTCACCAATTATCTACGTGTGTTGAAATAGGGGATTACAACCTATGAATTTGTTGTTGCGATGAGGGCTACGAGTGAGGCACCTGCAGGAGCTTCTGTTGACGAAGAATTGCCAAATATAATATACTCTCCATCTGGTTCTGCTACCACTGGTTTGAGTGGCGGAAGTTCTCTTGGTTTGCAATACAAGGGGGCATGGTGTACACCTCCAAGAGTTTTTATTGATTATCAGGTATCTTTATTTTGTTCTTTATTAAGAAACTTGCCTTTTCCTTTGCACTTTTTGGTTGGTTGTTTCCATTTTTTCTTTACGGTAAGTATTTTATGTATCTTGATAGTTATTTTTCACGTGCTCCTATTTGATTATGTCTAAATTCAGAAAGGGAGAAAATGAAGCATGGGCTTTGGAAACCAAAGCATTACGACAGTAAATGTAACTGAGCACAAAGAGGTTTTCAATTAAAAATATGGAAGGATAAAAATTTATATGTAACTTTTTTACTAAAATGTATTAGTGTGAAGCCATGGAACATTAACAAATTTAGTTCAAGCTCCTTCATCATCGGTTGTGCTGTTGACGATAACTTTTCAAATTTTTTCTGTAACCCTCTGTGTGGAAATGAATACATCATACTACTCTGTGATTGGCATTTTCACTTTGATGTTATTTATCATATTTCTGTTTTATCCTTAGAGACCTAGCTCACAAGCTTCTTTACTACTAACCAAGCCCATTTAAATACATTAGGATGAAGTGGTGCCTCACCTGGAGCCAGGAATGGTCCCATCTACTGTTGATCCAGATGCAGTTGGAGCTTCTGAAAGAGGGTCAAAAGTGCCCAAACGAGCTGTTCGTCTCAGTGCTTGGAAGCTTGCAAAGCTGGACTCAAATGAGGCCATGAAGGCAGCAGCCAAAGCTAGAGCATCATCATCTGTTCTGAGGCCTCTTGATAACCGCCGTTTCCAAGATCCTGAATTGAGCTCCAGCGGAAATGTAAGCGTTAGAAGCAGTGTGAGTATTGACACTGGTGTAAATAAAGAGATCAAGCATGTTCTGAGGCTCTCTCCCATAAGAAACTCTTTGGCTCCTGGTCAAGCTAGTCCCGATGATTACGAAACCGGAACACAGAGCATGAGTAGCTTCAGTAGTCCAAGCCATGTGCATGAAACAGTCATTCTCAGTCCTCTCCCACATGGTAACGGTCTGGGTCGTTTTACCGCTGCATCATCACTTCCTGTTCCTGAACATCCGTATTCTTCCAAGGCATCCTACCCTATCGCCACTGACCAAAGATTGCATACTTCTGGGCTTGATGATAAGGTTGCTCGGAGGGGAGGCATTACTGATCCATCGCTTCTTTCAGCTCCGGCTACTTCTCTCCTCAGAGACGTCAGAAAGACATCGGTTGTGTGGGACCAAGAAGCCGGGAGGTATGTCTCAGTTCCTGTATCAGCTTCAGAAACCCGACCTTCTAGATCGTCAGTACAGATAGGTTTGCCGAGTTTAAATGCTGAAACGAGCAACAATGCTCGAAAGCCAGTTGTTCCATTGCAACCCACATCATCTTCCAACACAAAATCTCCATTGCAGCAATCAGACAAGTTAATGTACACAGGAGATTCCATTTTCTTTGGTGGTCCTCTGCTGAATATCCCTTCTCGAGACGGTTTGAGAAGCGATAGGGTTTCCACCTCGAGAGAAAGCCAAGAAAGAATGACAGCAAACCTAACTCGGGAATCAAGATTCAAAAGGGATTCAGCTTCAAACCAACTTCCCGTTTTTGTCCCCGGTGGTTACGAGCATAACCGTCCATCAGCATCTCGTTTAAGGTAGGTACATAGGTAGGTCGGTCGGTTGGTCGGGTCAGTTTTGAAAGCATATGGTTTGGCTGTCTGAAAGGTGTAATTAGAAAGAAAGCCAAATGGAGGGGGTCTATTATTGGTCCTCAAATCCTGCGCTACCTGACATTATTTGCAAGCTCAATTGGTCGGTACAACATGGGAAGCAGTTTCCTCAAAGAATGCATTCAATAACACGGCTTTAGGTGTTATATGGGTAATTGAGGTGGAAATCTCTGCTTTTCTCCATCTCAAAGTTGTAGCCAAAAGTATATTCCTAGTTTTTTGTTTTTTATTATTATTTTTTATTTTATTTTATTTTATTTTATTTTATAATTCTTAGCCTATGCACTCCATTGAATTATTATTATCCACTTCATTTTTCCAATATTTTTTCTATTCATTAATTGACACCAGTGGATTAAAATCCAATGTTTATTGTTAAAATATGTTATTGGTCAAAACATTATTGTAGAGTGTTGTGGATGAGATTTGGTGTCCAATGTGTATTAAAATCCCAATAAGTAAAGGATAGACATTGAGTGAGTAGTTGGTGGTGTAGAGTCCAAATTGGCCTCTTCTTTCATGTTCTGTCCTTATCGTTTGGGAGAAAACTGCCAATTTGATTCTTTTTTTTTTTTTTTAAAAGGGTCAATTTTGTCCATCTTTCCCACCTTTTGATATATTTAAACTGGATAAAACGCTCTAATCTAACTAGAAAACCGATTTAGTTTGAGTTCAGACAAATAAACCCAACCCAACCCTTATAGTTTGGGTTAGGTTGGTTCGAGTTGTGGGTTGAATGTACACCCTTATTATTGTTCATAAATTATATTATATTTTATTTTATTTAAATTAAAAAATAAATAAAAATTATCCATTAAAAAAGTCTTTGGGCACTAATTAGATCCGGCATATTTCAGGTGTGGAATCCCGACTTCCATACTTATAAAAATTAATGAAAAATTTCACGAATTGAGAATAAAAAATAGGTTGAGTGTGGAATCTCAACTTCCATACCTATAAAATTTAATAAAAAATATCATGAATAGGTAGAATATTTGATTCCACCCCTCGTAGATATCTCTAATTATAGTTGTTAAAGCGCTCGTAATCTTTCTGTTATTATAAAAAGGGTTGTTTTAATTTATTATTATTTGTTTTCCGAAAGTAAATTACTTTATGAGAGATTGAGATTACGTGGACGGATTAATAAGAACAATCCTTAGGTGAGAGAAACATATTTGTTTGACCTTTCTCTCTTTGCTGTCAACTATGAATCATTAAGATTCCTGTGTACGTTTCTGAAGCGAAGTTTCGACGCATGGAACACGATCCCACACCCACGGATCGATTACCAGTCCATTAGCTCCCAATTTTCTATAATTGGAGCGCCACACACCCATTTGAGCTCCATTTTTCTCGCTTGCGTTTGTAGGAGACCAAGCGACAATGGCCTTCAATCATCTCCTTCGTTCTACTCTTAGGTCTCAGGTATCAGATCAAATGCCCATTTCAATCGTCTACTTCCTTCCACTTTTTGATTCCGTACTTTGATTTTGTTTGTTTGCTTTGTTGGATCGATTGCTACTTTGTTTCGTTTTGTTTTTTTAGGCTTTCTGAGTCTGCGATTTTGTTTCTGACGTTCTTCATTTCGTGTTTATCCATTGAAATTTGTGGAAATCTATTCGGTTTCTTTTTGTTTTAAAATGATTTTTCGTTTTTAAGATACGTGCCATCGGTGATGTTTTACTTTTCCTGCTTTGATCTAATCATCAGCATCATTATTAGTTTTGTTTTTAATGCATCATTGGTGGGAAGACGCATGACAAAGCGTGATTGAAAATTTTCTCCTGTTTTTTGTTTTTGAGTTTAAAACCGATGGGATTCTGTTTCTAGTGGCGCTTCTCTTTCTTGGGCAGGTTGTTCTTGAGTTATCTTTGTTGTCCTCTGTTTTAATCTGCATTCATAGTTTCAGATTATCGAGTTTGAATGAGGAATCGAGATCAAAGGCTACTTAGAACAATAATTTTAGAAGCTAATGTTTTCCCTTTAATTATTTTGTTGTTTATGAAGTTGTTACTATGTAACCTTCATAATTTGGTTTCCTCTGCGCATGCCAACATGAATTTAAAAGGTGAAACTAATTTTATTTGTCTACAATATCTATCATTTGATATCTGCAATGCCAATTTAGAACATTTTTCTTGGTAACAGTTCCAGAAGTTTTTCAAATTATGATGGTTCTTTCTCTGTTTTTCTTTTTTCTTTTTGCAGTTTGGTAGCTTTACAAAAGCCGTCACTGCTTCTAGTAGAGCTTCACAGGAACATGGCATCCTAGCTCCCTGTCTGTCCCGCTTCTACGGTACAGGGGCTTCAGTTCAAAAAGATGATCCAGGGTACATTTTATTCCTTCTTTGCATTCTCATGCATGATTTGTGATATCAATGCTTGCTTGGATTACATTGAGTTTCTCATTGACCACAAACATGCTTGAATTTCAGGTTTAAGGGGCATGATATGCTTGCACCTTTCACTGCAGGATGGCAGACCACTGATGTTCATCCACTAATCATAGAGAAATCCGAGGTATCAGCCTAACAGTATCTTCCAATCGAATGGATAATAAAAGAGAAGTTATGTTCGTTCTGTTTTGATTTAATTAGAAGGTATAGCCTTTTCACTCGACTTCAAATTCTATGGTGATACAGGGCTCATATGTATATGACATTGATGGAAAGAAGTACCTTGACTCTCTTGCCGGTCTATGGTGCACATCCTTAGGTACCACAAAACAGTTCCATCGTCATTGTTTTATCCTACTATCTTAAGTGCTGATTCTTTATGAAAGATAAACACTACACTGATATGGAGTATTCTAGACTCCTAGTTATAATTTGGAGTTTTTCCTAACTTTTCGGGATACAAAGAAAGATCAAAGACGGATGAGAATCAAGTATGTTAATTTGATAGCCTCAAGTTCATTAGTTTCAAATGCTCCAAATGTTAGTCCAAATTTTGGATGCAGCAGACATAAGGATTGGAGAATTTCTTGGTATAAAAAGTACTGACATTTTAGTATGATGCAAATTTTTGAATGCTTTATATGATTTTAGTACTTTTCTTTTCTAAATTCTTTGGTTTTAGTTAGTTAAGCAATGTTGGAATTTGTAGGGGGAAACGAACCACGACTTGTGGCAGCTGCTACTGCACAATTGAATACCTTGCCATTTTACCACTCCTTTTGGAATCGTACAACGAGGCCTTCTTTGGTATCCTATGCAACCTTGACCATTTTTTTGCACTCTTTTTGCAGTTAAAGAAAGAAAGAAAGAAAAGCTCCTTTCATTAGTTTCACTTTCTTGCTGTTCTTATGTGACAGGATCTAGCAAAGGAACTCCTTGAAATGTTTACTGCTAGGAAAATGGGGAAAGTATTTTTTGTTAACAGTGGTTCAGAGGCCAATGATACTCAGGTTTTTTTTTTTTTTACTTGAAAATAAAGGAAGAAAAATCTATGAAACTAACAGGACTAAAAGCTCTGCAACAATGCAACCAACTAATTCGTTTTATGCTTAAAAATTGTGATAGGTCAAGCTGGTATGGTACTATAACAATGCACTTGGAAGACCGAATAAGAAAAAGTTCATTGCTCGCTCAAAAGCGTAAGCGAAAATCACTTGGCTGATATTGATATCTATCATTTCTTTCTGTTCTGTTCAATTAACTCTTTTTTTTCCCTTGCACTCTTCTATTCAACAGGTACCATGGCTCAACATTAATATCAGCCAGTCTTACTGGGTAGGTTAAATGAAAAGGAAATGGACATTATATCTCTTGTTAAAAGGAATACTTGAATGTTATTTTTGATGTTTTGATATATTTTTCCACAGCCTTCCGGCTTTGCACCAAAAGTTTGACATTCCAGCTCCATTTGTTCTGCACACTGATTGTCCACATTACTGGCGTTACCATCTTCCAGGTTCTGATCTACGCCTGGATAGACAGTCAGTTCACATTCTTTTACTTTTTTTCACGTCGTTCAATTGCTATCATCCTTATCTCAGGTGAGACAGAGGAAGAGTTCTCAACCAGATTAGCCAAAAACTTAGAAGACCTTATACTCAAGGAGGGACCAGAGACGGTAAGCTTGAATACTCTACTTTGAATCACAATATGGCATGATACAATAATTGATTCCTTCTCCCATGTCTGGTTTTACCCTTCAGATTGCTGCGTTCATCGCTGAACCTGTCATGGGAGCTGGTGGTGTGATTCCTCCACCTGCTACTTATTTTGAAAAGGTAAGCTCTTTAAACTGCAAAGGTATTGAAGAAAACTCAATTTATTAACGCTGACATTAACCTAAACTATGAGGACTGGCTTGTTTACACGATTGCACGAATAAACTCCATCAACCTCACTATCTTATCGTGTATGCTCATTAACAGAAGCTGTCTTATGGAAATTTAGGCAGTTGGTCCTTCATTCTTAGCTGTTTTCTCGAACTTACTGCAATACAACTTCGGTCATTAGCTTGTTGATGAGATTAGGCAAATTTAAACCAAAAGCTTTGAGGATGACAAAAGCTTTGAGGATGACAAAAGCTGGAAGCTCCTTGGTATGAGCAATCCAGGAAAAAGAAAAGTTCAGATGAATCAGAAAACTCGATGAAACAGATTTCTTCATTGCTTGTGGACCAGACTCATCTTTAGGACACAGTTTTTGCCTCTGTTATTAATATTCCAGTTATGTGAATGATGTATTTCTTATTTATGTTGCAGATCCAAGCTGTGGTCAAGAAGTATGATGTACTTTTTATTGCTGATGAGGTACATGCTAATTGCAATTTTCTTCATCATTTCACTTTGTTTAGAAGAATGATTCCAATATGAACCAGGAGCTATCTTCAATATTTATTATAGGTAATCTGTGCCTTTGGAAGACTAGGGACAATGTTTGGATGCGACAAGTACAATATTAAACCAGACCTTGTATCTCTTGCAAAGGTGAAGTTCGAACAGATTCAACTTAACCCGATATCTTGTTTCATCGTTTTTGTTTGTGTCTGACAGTGGACTGGACTGTGTAGGCGCTTTCATCGGGATACATGCCGATTGGAGCTGTTATCGTGAGCCCTGAAATCTCTGATGTGGTTCACTCTCAAAGCAACAAGCTTGGTACATTGCTTATAGAATAAACTAGTCGTCACCGTTAATAAATCTCTGAGTCCAGTAACTTACCTAGTCGTTCTGTTCAATAATATTACTTCCAGGTTCCTTTGCTCATGGATTTACATATTCTGGACACCCGGTTTCATGTGCTGTTGCAATTGAAACACTCAAGATCTACAAGTATGTTGCTACACCATTGCTTTTGGAGTTCTAATATTCGTTGATTGAGAATGACAAAGATAACCCTTAAAATTATCATATTGGAGTTCGAGGGTGCAATTATTGTTTAAAGCATAAAAACAATACATGTAATTGTTACCATACGAACTGACATATAGTATGGAGTGTGTCACAATCGCACTTTTCTTCGGAGCAGCAGGCATGACCGTGACAGAGTGCATACGTTTAAAATTACCATATTTTCAGGAAGTTTACTTCATTTCATTGTAGGGAAAGGAATATTGTGGATAAAGTAAATAGCATTTCCTCAAGGTTTCAAGATGGCCTTAAAGCTTTCTCTGACAGCCCTATCGTTGGAGAGGTACAGAGAGTTCCACAAGTAGTTAGGTTTGGCTTATGAATCTGAACCATTTTCAGTTCTTAACAATGACCGTGATTTTTGCAGATACGAGGGACTGGCTTAATCTTGGGCACAGAGTTTGTAGACAATAAATCACCAAATGATCCCTTCCCTCCTGAATGGGGTATGTTTTATGTAATTCCCATGGTTAGTTATTCATCTTAATGGCTCATCTCTAGAAAACAGCTTGCGAAGGTTTGGTTCACCCCAACTTTGAAAGTCCTGGAAAAAGTATCTGACACTAGAAGAAACTTAACACAAACTTAACATAACACAGTAGCTTATATCGATTAGGAATCACGACTCTCCATAATAGTATGATATTGTCCACTTTAAGCTAAGCTCTCATGGCTTTACTTTTGGTTTCCTCAAAAGGCCTCATATCAATGGAGATGTATTCTTTACTTATAAATTCATGATCATCCTCTTAATTAGTCGATGTAGGACTCTTCTCCCAACAATATCATCAGAATTTTGGATTCACAGACCAGCAATTTAGTGGACCTTGATTTTGATCTACCGGGGCCATACTTATGATGAAAGCTTGTTATTTGCCTTGAAAACAGGAGTCGGTGCATACTTTGGAGCCGAATGTCAGAAAAATGGTATGCTTGTACGTGTTGCAGGGGATACTATAATGATGTCTCCACCATTTATCATCTCTCCTCAAGAAGTGGATGAGGTATCCCTGAAAGCCTATTATGATTGATTTTCATCTCAACACATTTTTGTTAGAATTGAAGTCATTGTTCTTGTTTCCAGTTAATAAGCATCTATGGGAATGCACTAAAGGCTACTGAAGAGAGAGTGAAGGAGCTGAAGGCTCAGAGGTAGCTGCTGCAAATAATTACAGCGAACGGGCTGAAGAAACCAGATCCTGGTCTTGCTTGTTCGAAAGGAACAAAGAAACCCTTGTCCGTGATGGTCAAATGCTTTGATGGTGGTGAAAGGTTGATCGGCTTGTGTCTTGTACAGAATACATGAATGATAGTCTGTAATCTTGTCCCACACCAATTTGTAAGTTAAAATAAAGCCCTGGATGCTGTTGAGAAATGTCACTCAACTACTAGATTCTTAAGATTGTCTCTGAATGAAAACAAGTTCATATGGGTTTCAAAGTTAAATTTGCTCTTTCAGAAACATTTCTTATAATAATAATATAATTCTGTTGAAGTTAATTCAATCCTCAACTGTCAAATAGGATGTTTGAAGAAACAATTTATTGTCGCCATGAACTTGTCGTTATAAAACGATTGAACTGGTACATTATCATGAGAAAGTGAGGTATTTGTTGAAAGTTTTTGTGAAATTCCACATCGGATCCACAAGTTCTGGTGTGAGGGGTGTGAGAGATTCGAGATTCGAGATTCGATGGAATATCTTCAATGTTTGTTCACTTAGACAACTCATCAAATGTATAACTTATAAAATATACGGATAAGGCACCAAAATAAGGAATGAAAGCTTAAAGAAAATGAAGAAAAGTGAGAAATAAGAGAGAAATTCTCATCGTTTCGCTTCCTTTTCAGCCTTCCTTCTCGCTCGCCTCTCTCTCGAACTCGCAGTCATCTTAAACCCTCGATTCTCATCCTCAGATTCATCCAAATCTCTGAATGATTTCTTCACATTCCTCCAGATTTAAACCATTAATTTTCCATCATAATCACAAACAGAGAACGAACAGCGACAACATATTCATGATCTCAAAATAAAAGAAGAGGGAGAAAGAAGGATACCTCTCGAATCTCAGAAAAGCTTACGGCGTAGAAGGTAATGGCTGCCGCTGCAACAATGCCCACCAATGGAACCCCCCATTGCTGCAATCCATCCATTTTCGCTTTCTCTACAAATTTGATTTTGAGGATCCAAGTTTCTGTGGAGTTGAGTCGTATTTGCCCTTTGCCCTTTGGAGATTTTAGATAAGGTTTTAATTTTATAAAATAATAATAATAATAATAATAATAATTTGATTTTGAGGAGCCAAGTTTCTCTCATTTTTTAATTAAAATAATAATAATTCAAATAGTTTTTTTTTTTTTTTTCTCTCCTAAAAATAACTAATATAAATATGTTGGAATTATAGAGAAGAAATTTCCACGTGTCAACCTCCACGTCCACCTCAACTATGACTAGTCCGCCGACGTGGATCATTCAACACGCCGCTAGTCAAAGGTTGTCTTAATTTTTTTTCCTTCATTTGTGGGTTATTATTATTCTATAAAATAAAATGTAATGATTTATAAGTCCCACACATATTAATGTATAATTAATGAGTTGATAATTCAACTTCGATATGAAGTATCCATGAAATAACTTTTATTCATAAAATTCTTGTTCCAATTATTTAGATTAAGATTTGTGACATAATTCTTCTAATAAATATAAAAATTTCCTAATTTATTTTAAATTTAAACTTTCAATTTAATTCCATAAAATAAAATAAATAATTTGAAGTTGAAAGCTCCATTTTCTACGTTGAAATAAAAATGAAGAATAAATAAATAATAATTTTCACACAAATTTCCAAAAATAAAATACTTAAAATCAAGTAACGTCCTTGTTTTTTCTTACGTAATATAAATTTCAGACGCCAAGATTGGGACGAGGAAGTTGAAAAAGTAGCGTATTAATTTGACTTGATTTTCCATAAATACCCCTTCCAAATAATGTAATAACTAATTATGCCCCCATGAAGTCGAGCTTCCAAACACATTTTTTCCCGACCATTAACACTTTTATGAAAATCTTTTGGATCAACTCAAAATTTGACGTCAATGACTCTAAATATTTACAACCTAACTTAATCTAATCCTCTATTTTCGAGTTGGGTTGTCGGATTCTTTTTTCCTTTCTTAATTATTTATAAAATTTTACTTTGTCGGCATGCATGTTACGTTAAAAACAAAAATTTTATAAAATTTAAATATCAAATATTCACAAATCAGAGTGCATCACTAGTAATTTTAAAATTGAGTGACTTTATTTTCGAGTTGGTCGGGCTGACCCAACCAAAAAAATATCAATTAACGAATTGACTTGAATCGTTAAATTTTCAAACTCGACATATATATCCTTAAAAATTCTTACTTTTAGTACACTCTTGGTCCTCCCATTCAAATTTCCATGTAATATTAATCATGAAATTTGTAAATAATAAAATTTATCCTAAAAAGAATTGAATTTGATTATAAAAGGGCCATTAGTGAGATAATTGTTGGTAGGAGGGGAAGAAATGGAATATAAATAAAGTAGAGGGGTCGGAATATGAAAAGTGAGGAGGAAGCCAAAAGGGAGATGGCAGACGTCAATGTCAGGGTGGCCGGGGGAGAAAACGACAGAGCGGTCATGTTTGCACGCATACAATGGGCGGTTTGGTCGGTGGCATTTTGCGTACGGTTGTCGCCGCCACTTCCGCACCAAAAAGACACCTCCTTTCTTCTTCCTTTTTCAGATAATGAAAAAAAAAAAATAAAAAAAAAAATTAAAGACTATTCTTAATAATTCATATTATTCCTTCTTTTTGTTTTCTATTTCTTAATTTATTTCAATAATGAATTTATTATAATAATGATAATAAATGAATAAATAACTAGGACGGAGCATAGACGAGGATAAAGATGGGAAATACAAACCCCATTTAGCCAATGAAGAGAAAACTTTTTCCGCTCCCTTTCTCGTTCTCCATTGAAACGATGATTCTCCCCTATATTTGAAGTGGGTCATGTTAGAAATTACGAATTTCCAAAATAGTACGATATTGTCAACTCTAAACATAAACTCTAATGACATTTCTTTTAGTTTTTCCTAAATGCCTCATAATGTTTCTCGTTCGACACATAAAAAAATTATATATATATCTATATATTTATTTATTTATTTATTATTATTATTATTATTATTATTATTTGTCTGAAAATACATTTTAAATGTTAAATAACTTCATTTAATTTTTAACCATTTCCGAGATTATTTGTACTCCCTGTTGCAAGTTTGCTGACTTGGCACACTACCAAATAAAACTATAACGGCTCTGAATTGCATTTTATTTTACCATTTAAAGAATTATGTTTTTATTTAAAAAATGTGTTTATATGCTGTGATTGACTAACTATAATACTAAATTTTTATTTATTTTTAAATTGAGAGTAGGGTCACATATGTGATGTCATCTGATTTTAGAATGTAATAATATTTGGAGTCAAAAGTCAACTTTTTTTAATGGTTAATTATGACTTTGAAATTTGTATAAAATTTTATATTTGAATTTGGAAATTGATTCGAAAAAATATTTTTCTATAAAATAATGAAAATTCAAACGTATATCGTCATTTATTTCATTTTTAAAATATAGTTAAAATTAAAAAATAAAGGATAAAAAGAGAGATTTTTAAATTTTAGATGCATAATTGAAACATATTCTAAATTCTAGAGTAAATAATTGATATTTAAAAATTAAAAAATGATTTAAAATATGATTCTAAATAATTTAAAATAAAATGAAAAAATAATTTTTAACAATTTTTTAAATCTACTGCCAAAGATAGCATGTGCTATAAAGGTGGCAAATGCAATTTGCGAAGGGTGTTTTTGTCTTTTTCTTTTCTTTGTTGTGTTTTTTTCTGGAAGAAACATAAATTAACTAATAAATAATAAGGTTTAAAAATTAAATTAAATCAAATACTTAAAAAGACCAAATAAACAATGAATTTTCACACATCTACTCCACGTGATATTACCAAATTATACAAGGACGAGCAAGAGACAAATATTGACCACTAAAATAAAGACAAAGAAAGTGTCCTCTTACATGCGTGAACTAGCTCACACAGATGTTCGAATTTTCTCGTTCTAAATATTAGTTAACCAAAAAGATCGGTTGAGTTATTAAAAAAAACATACTAGTTAAGAGAAAGACATTGTAAATTAGTTTAGTCGTCAAACATTTTAAATTATTATTAAGTTGAGTTTCACATGTCTTTAACAATAATAAATGTTGTTAAGATTTAAACAAGAGAACAACTTACTTGAATATGAAAGGAAGACACGACTCGCAAAAAATAAAGAATCTGCATTGATGTGGTGCTTAGTCACACTAGTTTTGATATTTGAGTTAACAAGGCTAATATTAGAGATTGTCGAGGATTATTAAGAGAAGTAATCCCACGTTGGCTAATTAATAAGATCATGAGTTTATAATTAAGAAATATTCTCTATTGGTACGAGACATTTTAGGAAAACAAACTTGAGAGATTATGATCGAGGTAGACAATATTATATAATTGTGGAGATTTGTAGTTCCTAACACAAATTTCGAGGCTCCACCTTTCTATATTGGCCTTATAAATATTAATAATAGTTTTAAAAAAAATGATTTTAACCAATCAAAAAAACATTTTAATTTTTTTTTATAAAGATAAATAATGAAAAGTGGTTTTAAAAATTAAAAAAGAAAAAAAAAAGAAAAAAAAATGCTAAAAGAAAAACAAGAAATCTTTTGTAACCCTAAACCCATTATAATTGACCCTTACTTATTTTATAGCTCTTAAACTTCATACCATAAATTAAAAGTCCAAAATTCATTTAATTAAGACTTTATTAAATTCATACCATAAATTCAAAATCCACAACGTGTCTCAATTCATATAATCAAAACTTATTACCTAATAAAGTATATATATATATATATATGTATGTATGTATGTATGTATGTATGTATGTATGTATGTATGTGTATATTGAAGGAACAATGGGATTTTGATGCCATGTTTTTTAGGCTTTCAGATTTCATCAAATAATTTTTTATTCGCATGTTTATTATTTTTTTTTTTTTGGAGAATAATTATTAACATAAAATTATCTTAAATACAAGTATGAAATTTAAATAGTATGAATTGAGTGAGGGGAGGGGGATTACATAGTTTTTAATTTATAAATTCTACAAAAAAAAAAAAAAAATCAATTTAAAGGTTTATTTTATAAAAAAAAAAAAATTGAAAAATTTAGGCTTAGCACCTAACACATATATTTTTAAAAAGTATATTGTCTTTTTAATTAGTTTTTATTGTTTTAAAATTGTAATATTTTTTATTTTAAACATTTTATTAAATTATGATGAAAATGTATTTAAAATTCATCATAATTTAAAAAACAAACAAAAAATAAAAATAAAAATAAAGTTACAATAAACGTAATGTTTAACTATATATATATTTTATCAGTGACTTAAATAGTTAAATTTTGTGTTTAAATAATAATAATAATAATTAAAAAAGAAAAAAAAGAAAAATATGATGGTTTGTATGGTAATTTTTTTTTTAATGTAAAAATCATTTGATTTCATATGATAATAAGGAAGAAATTTATTTACAATTTTTTTTAAAAATTGATATGTATAGTCAAATAAAATAAAAAATTATACAAATATAAATTTCATAAACTTAGACTAAATAAGTTTGTAGCTTAATACAAACTTCTTTAATCTAAGTTAAACTTTATTGATTAAATAATTTCAGGTGAAGATATAAAGAAAAAGAAAGCATTAATATTTGGGATGCATAGAAAGTAAATGAAAAGGAAGGGGCTAAAAATGTAATTTACTTAATAAGAGAAATTGGAAAGATAAGTACATACACAGGGGGTGTAGTACAGGTGGACTATTAAGAGATGATGTGGAGGAAACATCCAACGCGGCTGCTCTAGTTGGACCTATGGCTATTCTCCGTCATCCTTGCTGTTGTGGACCCCCACCTACGGGTCCCACGTTACTAATTAAAAAAAAATTATATGTTAATATTTATACTAACCAACAATTTCCAGTGGACGTTAAAAAACTCGGTTACAAAAGGAATCTCCTCTCTCTCTCTATCTCTCTAACCACCCTCCTTGATCGACATCTCCTCCGCCGTCTCCCCATTTTCCACGGTGTCTGAGAGCGGAGAAATCGTATTGTAAACACTA